TCCTGTACAGCGTAGGAACAGGTCCAGGAGAGAAATCAGGAACAAATAAAAATGAAGATCACCAAATACAAGTTAAAACAAAGTCAATACTCTTATATCCATATATTTTTTAAGTTGTTTTGAATATTTTAAAACTAACTGTTTGTAACACTTGTCTGTGATTGGTGCATTAGGTTTTGGCGCCAAATTTAACCTCTGTATAATCTTATAAATTCTGTTTCATGCCAGGTATATTGTTCTTTTACCATTTTGAAAAAACCTCATAGATGAAACGCGTAAATGGTTTTAAATAGTGTATTTTAATCAATAAAAGTTATTTTTGGTTACCTTTTAAATAGGACCAATCTTATACTTATTTTTATTGTATTTTATACACTCTTACTATTCCTGGCATCTTTTTATACTCTTTTTATAAATTTATTTCTTATTTTTTTTATTATTATTTTTTCCTTTTATTCTACTTGTATAATTTATTACTCTCAAGTGTATCCCGTCTCAAGAAATCCTTAGGTGGGGATGATTCCACCAGCGCTGTGGCAATAGAGCAGTATTTGTCTGCTCTATTCTTGTAAGTATAATTTATTTTATTTAATTACCTTATTGTTCCAACTGAGAGCACTATCTGCTGTTTTATATATTCTGTGGATAACAATGGATCCTAAGCCGGAGAGACGGACCTATCCTTCTAATATACCCTCAACTGCAAAGAGTCTCATACATTTGAGCTGGTCCTAGCTTATATTTAAGCAACTTGAAGGAATCCAAGCCGGACGGATGTACCGACCATCCCAGTATATCATGTAGTGGGGATTAAACCACTAAGTGCCCTTTCTCCTAGAGCTGGTTCAAGCTCCAACAAATGTGAGTGCAATACTTTTTCCTTGATTTATATACCACATCTGGATCTGCAATATTTCACCATTGGCAGCTTTTTCTTTTGTCTTTTTATCTCCACATATATGGACTATTTATCACACAGACGGACCAATATCTGAGGACCAAAACCATATCACCATATACCAGTGAGACTGTTCCTATTTACATTATCCAATTCCCATATTTGGATGAACTTTGTTTATTTTACTCATATTATATCTTGGTTTTATTATTTGCTGATTCTACTTTTATTTATTGATTTTAAGTGCAGCCCTTAACTCCTTTTGCCTTCTCTTCTATACCATAATGCCTGCCCTCAAAACAAGGTACAAAGTAGAAACAGAATTGAGATCTTTAACATTATTGAAATGTGCTTTTATTATATATTTTTGCAATAATACTATTTCTATAACATTAACAATCCCATATTGAGTCAATGCTATTAACAGTATTAAGTGAATATCTATGCCTGATTTTCAGAACTTTAAAATAAAAATTACTAAGCAGGCTGGTATTTACAGCAGTATTAGTGAATTTCATGTTTATTTCTTTTCTTAACATGCTACCCTCTAGTGACAGTATTATGCTATTACACTTTTTGTTGTGTAGCTAAAAAACATTGCACAATTTTGAGAAGTAATACAGCCACTAGAGGGACTTCTGTGTTCTTAGAACACGAAAAGTGTTTTAAAAGACGCTGGACGTACTCACGCTATGTAAGGACCTCCAGCGTCGCCAAAATCCCCATAGGAAAGCATTGAATAATGCTTTCCTATGGGAAGGCCTAATGCGCGTGCGCGGCCATTGCCGCGCATGCTCATTAGGTCTCCCCCACCGGCTGACATCTGCGGGGGAGGAGAGTAGGTGGAGAGTAGGCTGAGCCTGACCAGTGCCGAGGGACATTGGTGCTGGACTCCGGTAAGTTACTGAAGGGGTTTTAACCCCTTCAGCAACTTGGGATGGGAGGGAGAAGGGCACTACAGGGTCCTGCAGTGCCAAGAAAACAAATGTTTTCCCGGCACTGGAGAATCCCTTTAATATAATGTACCACAGGGTGATAGTGAGTTTAAGAGATTTTTAAGTGGAAACATTTGAATCTTGACAGTTGTCTACATTGTAGTCTTTATTTTTAAAATAGCACTGTCACAAATGCATGCACTGTACATGTGCAACATGCCTATCCTTTTACTTTGGCAAATATCTGGGCTTCCTGAAGATTTGGTTCCTTCTAATTTCATTAACCAAAAATAAACTGCACCATGAATTAATTATTGTCACCAGGATGTATTGGATGTATTGGGAGCAAATGGACGTTGAAATTGAAATGCAACTCAAAAGGATATGATGGTAAATACAATATTGGTCCCAAATGCAGCATGAGCATATCAGAAAGCAATTTAGATATGTCTGCTGCTAATACTCAGAATTTATTGAACAGATGATTGTTGATTGCGATTGTAGTGTTCAGAAATCCACTACCAAGAGACTGATTTTGGCAACTAAAGAAGAGGTTGAGCATTACAGTGAGGGAAAAGTGTATTTGATCCACTGCTGATTTTGAATGTTTGCCCACTGACAAAGAAATGATCAGTCTGTAATTGTAATGGTAGGTGTATTTTAACAGTGAGAGTCAGAATAAAAAATATCCAGAAAAACGCATGTCAAAAAAGTTATAAATTGATTTGCATGTCACAGTGAAATAAGTATTTGATCCCCTATCAATCAGCAAGATTTCTGGCTCCCAGGTATCTTTTATACAGGTAACGAGCTGAGATTAGGAGCGCTCTCTTAAAGGGAGTGTTCCTAATTTCAGTTCTTTACCTGTATAAGAGTCACCTGTCCACAGAAGCAATCAATCCGATTCCAAACTCTCCCCCATGGCCAAGACCAAAAAGCTGTCCAAGGATGTCAACGACAAGATTGTAGACCTACACAAGGCTGTAATGGGCAACAACACCATCACCAAGAATATAATTGGTAACACATTACGCTTTGAAGGACTGAAATCCTGCACCACCCGTAATGTCCCCCTGCTCAAGAAAACACATACAGGCGCATCTGATGTTTTCCAATGAACATCTGAATGTTCAAAGAAGAACTGGGTGAAAGTGTTGTGGTCAGATGAAATCAAAACTGAGCTCTTTGGCATTAACTCAACTCGCCGTGTTTGGAGGAGGAGGAATGCTGCCTATAACCCCAAGAACACCATCCCCACTGTCAAACATGGAGGTGGAAACATAATGGTTTGGGAGTATTTTTCTGCTAAAGGGACAGGACAACTGCACTGTATCAAAGGCATGATGGATGGGGCCATTTACCATCAAATCTTACGTAAGAACTTCCTTCCCTCAGCCAATGCATTGAAAATGGGTCGTGAATGGGTATTCCAGCATGACAATGTCCCAGAACACACAGCCAAGGCAACATAGGAGTGGGTCAAGAAGAAGCACATTAAGGTCCTGGAGTGGCCTAGCCAGTCTTCAGACATTAATCCCATAGAAGATCTGCAAAGAGGAGTGGGACAAAATCCCTCCTGAGATGTGTGCAAACCAAATACTTATTTCACTCATTGAAATGCAAATCAATTTATAACTTTTTTGACATGCATTTTTCTGGATTTTTTTTAATTCTGTCTCTCACTGTTAAAATATACCTACCAGTAAAATTATAGACTGAATACTTTTTTTTCCTCTCACTGTATATAATAATTAAATAATTGTTAAAAAGGGCTGTAGGGGTAGGAACATCATTCTTTATATAGAATATGTGTGTTTGGTACACTGCGCGGTAGGCTGATCAACAATATTATTGGTGTAACTATGATAGAAGCTGGTACATATTTTATACTTAATTGTTATGTTATGATTGTATGCTTGATTACAGAGTAAACTAGAATAAAATTAATCATGCTCCATTTTTTTTTTTTTTTTTTCAAATTGACAATTTTTATTTTTCAGAGATCAAGTGGGGTACAGAAAGGAAAAGGGGTTGGGGGGATCACATTTTCACATAACATGTAATTTTGTTTCAGTAATTAGTAGGTTCTGTCTCTTGCGGTTTTATTTCAGTGTCTGAACGGTAGGGACCATGAGGAGGATGCCGGGAACCCTTCGGGTCGCTATATATGTAGGCTATTGCATTGGTTGCATGCATCGTTATAAGGCTCTACGTATCCCTCTAAAGCTCCCGTTCAGCTTCTTGCGCTGGTTAATCACTAACCTCTCTTTTTCATGTGGGTTATGTTGCAAATTCAGGTAGTGAGATCCTCCAACAGGGAGATAACAAGGGAAAAGGTGTAGGAAAAAAAAGGGGGGGGGGAATAGTGTGTATCTTCGTGTGATGTAGCGCTTGGCTTCATGTTGTAATGGTGAGTGGTAATAGTTGTGCATTGGCGGTAAGGCTTTCCGGGGTCTATGCCTTTGCCGTGTTTGTATTTGCCTCGGAGTCTCATTGGTCCATTGTGGAGTCAGTGCGGGGGGGCGTTTTCTAAAGCTCGTCGTGTGTGTCGGAAGAGTTCAGTCTGTGTGAGGTGTTGTGAGTGGCCTTTCCTTGAATAGCGTGGGGTGGGGTATCTGTACCAGAAACTATTCCGTCTCTTAGGTTCACCCAGGGTGCCCAATCGGTTTGGAAGTTTTCCCTTTGAGCGACAGTTTTGGTAGACAAGCTCTCATATGTGTAGTATTGGTGGATTTTGTCTAGCAGTTGGGTTCGGGAGGGACAGTGGGGTTGTTTCCACTGAGTTGCTATCAGATTTCTCGCTGCCAGGATTACAATGGCCATTATGTTTCGTACATATTTTGGGGTGGGGTGTGGGTATGAGAGGAATATCCCCGTGTGTATGTCGATTAGCGGTGATGTAATACCCATAGATAGCAAAACAGTTTGTGCCTCCCTCCATAGAGGTCTTATACGTTGACACGTCCACCATATGTGGAGCATTGTGCCCTTAGCAGCCCCGCATCTCCAGCAGTGTGGGGATACATTGTTGTACATCGAGTGGAGTCGCTGGGGTGTTAGGTACCATCTATATATCAGCTTTTTGTGGGCCTCTATGTGAGAGTAGCACTGCGTGAGGCCTGAAAGGGCTCGGGGGGATGCCAAAACTTCAGTGTCAGATATCGAGCCTGCGCCCTCAACGAGCCATTGGGTTACAAAGTTAGGGATAACCATGGGTGTAGCCCTGAGGATTAGCTGATAGCAAAGGGAAATTGACTTAGGTTTGGTAGGAGTTTTCCAGCACCTGTCGTATAGTGATGCTATGTCTTTGAAGTCTGGGTCATTAAGCAGTGGATTCTGTGTAACGTGCGTGGGGAGTACACTTTTAAGTTGCAGGTATGGAAACACTGAGGAATTAGTAAGTTTGAATTCCTCCTGCAGTTCTGGGAAGGGTTTAATGAGGCCTTCGTGCAGGACTTGTTCTATGTGGGTAATTCCCAGTTTGACCCATGAGTGTAGGGAGAGCCAAGGTGATATTGCTTTTAGTGCTGTTAATGGCGTGCGGGGGTGAAATTTGTGAGTGTCGTGATGGTTTTGACGTAGCTTGTCCCAGTGAAATATGGTTAGTTTAGTGGTCGGTAAAAGGGATTTGTCTTTGGGCCGATATGTCGCGGGGGTCCACAAGAGATCGACCAAGGACGTCTTGCCCGCGTGGGCGACTTCCATGTCCACCCACTGGTACACTCCTTTATGGGTGTGCAGTTTCACTGCTGCCTCTATGATAGCTGCTTTATAGTAGGCGTGTATATCTGGCAAACCCACTCCCCCTTTTGCTGTGCTTTGTTGTAGGGTTCGGTGTGACAGTCTGGGTCTGCGAGAGTCCCACACGTATTGGGATAGTGTCTGTTGGAGTGTTTTAAAAAAGGAGGGTGGGACTTGTATGTGAAGTAGGTGGAATATGTACAGTATCTTCGGGATTAGGACCATTTTGATGGTGTTGATTCTGCCGAACCAGGATAGTTTCACCGGTTTCCATCTATTACATTCCGATTTGCACATCGTGAGTAGTGGTCTATAATTATAATGAAATATGTGTTCCACAGTGGGCGCTATTTTAACCCCCAAGTATGTGATGTAATCCGTCCTCCAGTCAAACTTATATGTCCTAAAAAGCTCTGTGGTCGTGGCCCGCGGTAGGCCTACCGGTAGGGCTTGGGTTTTGGCTTGATTTAATTTATAGTACGATAATGTACCATATGTTTCTAACAGCTGTAATAGGGTGGGTAGAGATGTTGGTATGTCGCGCAGCGTCAGTAAGATGTCGTCTGCGAACATAGATAATTTGTATTCACAAGGACCTATAGACATACCTTTGATATTAGGGTGGTGTCTAATGATGTATGCCAGCGGTTCTAAGCAGAGGACAAACAGTAGTGGTGAGAGGGGGCAGCCCTGCCTGGTGCCGTTGGAAATTGTAAATGGGGTGGATAGGAAGCCCGCATTACTCACTTGTGCTGAGGGGGCGTTATATAAGGCCATGATTCCGGAGAGGATTTGTGGGGTAAAGCCGAATGTTTGTAGGACTTTTCGCATATAGTCCCAATTTAGTCTGTCGAAGGCCTTCTCCGCGTCTAGCGCTAGGAGGAGGCCTTCGCCTTGGTTGGCTTGAGCGTGTGCTAAAATATTAAGGATTTTCCTGGTATTATCTGAGCCTTGTCTCGTTTTCACAAAGCCAGATTGGTCATTGTGTGTGAGTTTTGGGAGAATGTTGGATAAGCGATTCGCTAGTAGTTTAGCGTAAAGTTTAACGTCTCCATTTAGCAAGGAGATGGGCCTGAAATTGGGACATTGCGTAGGTGATTTCCCTGGCTTCGGGAGGGTGGAGATGTGAGCTCTCAGCATCTCAGGGGGTAATGAGCCTCTTTCAAAGCAGTGGTTAAATAGCTTAAGTATGTGAGGCGATAGAGTGGGTGCAAATGTTTGATAGTAGAGATTGGTGTAACAGTCTGGGCCGGGTGATTTGTGTTTAGGCAGTTGTGCTATCGTTTTCGTTATTTCTTCTATCGTGAATGGTGCGGATAGGGAAGCTATATCATCTGGTGTCAGTTTGGGGAGGTTCGCCTCGGCCAAGAAATCAGTGACAGTTGATGCGTGAGGTGGTGTAGTGTCTGGGTCGTCTTTAAGGTTATAGAGCGCACTATAGTAGGAAGCGAACGCATCCACTATATCCTGCGGGTTTGTGAGTTTCTTTTTCGATTTGTCGATTATGTAGGCTATTCTAGAGTTGGCGGTGCGCGCTTTGAGTCGCGTTGCTAGTAGTGCCCCTGCTTTGTTACCTTGTTGAAAGAAGTTGTATTTGAAGCGTTTGAGCATATGGGTCGTTTTCTTTAGTTCCATTTCCCTGAGTTTCGACTGTAACGTTAAGAGCCGGTGTTGTGTAGTTTGCGTGGGCGTTGTCTTGTTGTTGTGTGTAAGGTTTGCTATCTCGGAGATTAATGCATTGTATTGTTTAAGTCGTTGTTTTTTGGCATAGCTGCCCACCCTAATTAAGTGCCCACGTATGACGGCTTTGTGTGCTTGCCATAAGGTGGTTATGTCTATGTCTGGGGTAGAATTTGTGTGGAAGTATGAGATGAGATCTGCTCTCAGTTGTTCTGTGAGTGTCGGGTCTAGGAGTAGGGAGTCGTTAAGCCTCCAGGATCCTTTGCCTGAGGTAGGGAACTGTTCTGCGATGGTTAGCGTTATAGGGGCATGGTCTGACCATGTGATCAAGCCTATGTGGGCCGTTACAATTTTATGGATCTATCCTCGTATATGTGTTGTGTGCCGATGGGTGGAATGTGTAGTCACGTTCCAGAGGGTGGAGGATTCTCCACGGGTCGAGGAAGTTATTATTTAGGATTTGACGGCAATGTGAGGAGGTGGACCTGTTAAGTTTGCGTGTAGATGTTGCGGAAAGTTTATGTGTTGAAGTGGTGTCTAGTGTGCTGTCTAGGATAAAGTTTGTGTCTCCACCGATAATGAGTTCCCCATATCGATACAGGTTTGCTAGGGCGAACACAGTGTCCAGGAATTCTGTCTGGTTCGTGTGCGGGCCGTATATGTTGAGAAACGTGTAAGGCTCATTGTTTACGAGACACTGGAGCAGGAGATATCGTCCCTGTTTGTCCCCTATTTTTTTGATTAAGGAGAATGCCACCGATTTCCCTATTAGTATGGACACTCCTCTCTTTTTTGTCTTAAAGCACGAGTGGTAGTCGTGGGGGAATAGTTTGGAACTGAGTTTGGGGCGATGGCCCCATTTGAAATGTGTCTCCTGGAAGAACACTACGTGTGCGTTGTGTTTTTTTGCCTCTCCCAGCGCTAGTCGTCGTTTGTGCGGCGAATTTAAACCTTTGACATTTAATGACAATATGTTGAGCGTCATTTGTGCACATAGTAGTGGGCAGCTGTGTGTAATTCTATACGGAACGCTTGCCCTTCGCATTGTGTGGGGGCATCGGTGGCATTGTGGTTGTGTTCTGGTCCCTGTTGCGTGGGTATCATTGATTCCGCATTGTTTGGGGTACAAAGATAGTACAGTGGGGTGGTGAGCCTCCTTGTTGTCAAGGAAATATCGGGTGTTTGGTTGATGTAGTTCGTATAATGGGACCTATAAGGGTTAGTGGCATTCCCCAACTGGTTGGGTGGTCTCAGATGTGGAGCGCAGCTTGTCATGTATTTAAGTTGATACTCCAGAGGGGTAAGGGACTGGGGAAGTAGGGGCGGGTACCAGGAATGAGTCTCGTGGTAGGATAACAGGGTAACAAGAACTATATACAAGAAACCGTCATAGTGAAAGCCATGTGGCTGGGACGGTGGGAACATGGCTCCTTTGAGCCTAAGGGGGGGGAAGTTGTGGCAAACCACCGTGGTTGACCCTCGGGGTTGTTAGGGATCTGCATCTGTCGTTGGGCCTCGTTTACCTCGGCTCTGGTCTTCGAGCAAGTGACCTGGTGTAGTGTCAATGTCTAGCTGTGGGGGAAGCTAGGTATCGCGACATTGTTGTCAAATCAGTTGTTCCATGCACCTCCTAGTGCGGGGGGGGGGTGAGTGGGCCGTCCGGGAGCGCGTGGTGTAGCTCATGTCCCCCCCATCGCCGCGGTGGGGGGGACCAATACCTAGGGCTCCGCCATCGCCACGAGGCCAAAGAAGCAAGTTTTACCCCCCCAGCCCTCCCCTCGATCTCCCATGACCCCCCACCGCCTAAAGAGGGACCGCATACCTAAAAAAGGGTAGAAGACTTGTACGATAAACATTCGGCGGCCCTCAGGTGCGGCAGAGATACCGGGTATAATAAAAAATTTTGATTAAAGACTGAAAGTCAAGGGCTGGGAGAAAGGACATGTTGGAATTCTATCTGAGGGAGCGAGCAAAGTGGCATGGATAGAGTCCGCGCACGGGGACAATGGTGGGCCGGTGCGTCTTTAGTGTTGAGGGAACGTGCAGCCTCGCGGCAGTGGGGGAAGTTAGGAGACCCATCACCGCTGCCCTGTCAGTTATTCGACAGTCCTCTCGGTGCAGGGAAGCGTATAGGGCCGCCTGTGGGTGCACGTTGTGTGCCGCTCCTCTTTCCCTTTGCATCGCGGCGATGAGGGGGCCCAATGCACGGGGCCCCGTCACCGCCACGAGGTCCATCAAGCAAGCCCGTCTACCATCAGTTGCACCCCCATCCTCCCATCTAAAGAATACCTAGTATGGTAAACGTTTGGCGGCCCCTGAGTGTAGTAAGAAAATAGAGAAGAATATAGTTCAAAGTCTGAGACTGCAAAAAAAGGCATAAGAGAGCAACATAACGGCAAACAATTAGAAGTATACGGATAAAGTCTTCACATGGGGAAAGTGTCGGGCTAACTTGCCCTAGTGTTAAGGGGACAGGCCGCATGTACGGCTGTGGGAAAGTCACTTAGCTGAGGCTGCTGAGTTCCATTCGGTCGGCACTTTCCATGGAGGTCGCCGGCGTTCGAGTGGGGCCCCTCGGTCAGGTTGTGGGGGTATGGGAATGTTCCACTCTGCAAGGAGTTTCTTCCCCTCCTCCACATTGGTGATATGGCGATCCACTCCATTGCGCCGGATAAATAAACGGGCCGGGAATCCCCACCGGTATAAGACGTTCGCATCCCGCAGAGTCCTGGTGATGGCGGCAAGGTCTCTCCTCTTTGACAATGTGGATGCGGAGAGGTCTGTGAAGAGCTGGACCTTTGCAAATTTCACCGGTAAGTCTTGGGTGTGCCTAGAGGCTTTCATTATGCAGTCTTTCGTAGTGAAGTAGTGGAGTTTAGCAATCGTGTCTCTCGGGATTGACGCGGGTAGAGATTTCGGTTTTGGCAGCCTATGGATGCGGTCAATGAGGAAGTCTTGTGGAGTGAGGTCCGGAACCAAGTGTTGGAATAGACTCCTGGCATAGGCCTGGAGGTCCTGGGGCAGAACTTCCTCTGGTATGCCGCGGAGGCGTATATTGCTGCGCCTATCCCGGTCTTCGTGGTCCGCTACTTTCGCTGTCAGGCGGTCTAGTTGCTCTGTCATTTCAGTGTAGGCATCTGCCAGAGTATTGTGTGCCGAGATTATTTCATCAGATTTATCTTCCAGGCGGGAAGTCCTGTCTCCCAATGCCTGGATGTCTGCTCTAATTTCCCTCGCCATTTTGGACATATCTGCCTGTAGTGAGGCTTGCATAGTTTGAAGCA